AGACAACCCCGTAACAATATGCGTTTTGTACTGCTGTTACACAGCACAAAACGCATAAAAATTGCCGGCAGCTTCGGAAGAAAATAATGCCATGAGAAAGGAAGTTAACTTAAAGCAACGATATATCGGGGCATTTTTGATGGGGAAATTCAAAAAGTTACCTCGTCGTCTTCTTCACTTACTATTGTCCATGAATTCTCTTCGCTTTCGAATTTTATGACACGTCGTAAAAAGTTGTCGCGACCTCTGCAAAAAAGGGAGAAAAATCAGAGCAAAATGTTTTCATTATTCAATTTCTGATGAGGAAAGCTCATCTATAAAATTCAGCCGTGAAAACGGCAAGGTTGTCTACTACATCATTGAAGAAACAATAGTAAATTAGCAGCCGTTTCAAGCATCAACTTGACAAGCTCTGACCGTTAAAAACAAAAAGCTCTCTCTGTTAAATTTGTCTGCGAAACACTACTTCAATCAATTTTCGTCATCAAATTCGTAAATACAGTCAAAAATGGTTGACAGGCGTAATCTGTACCGTATCGGTGACAGGAGTATGCTGAGCATCGCTATGCAATTATCAATAATAAAACGATCGTTGATCGAGTCGATCGCAATATATGACTGAAGCAGCGGAGCCGCCCACTGAGCCACCGGAGAAACAAGCCGCAACAGTTGACATAGTAAATATTGCTGATCATCAGATGTACATGCTTTCAACAAAACCGATCCCTGAAGATATATGGTGAAGTGTGTGTGTGTGTGCGTGTGTGTGTGACAGCGGTACTTCTGATGATGGACAATCATTATTAGTTTCAGATGTTAGCTCAAATTCCCCGTCACGTACCGTTGCTTCAACTTAAACTTCAAAGCCACTAAGTTGTCGCACTTTGTGACTGTAAAAGCAGTCTGACACTCTGTCTGGTGGGCTATTTGCCTTATATCATTGTGAACAAAAATAGTATATTATTGCTTATAGCAATATTTAAAATCAGTGCATCATGGTATGTCATTGCGAACAGTACATCACTGTTTGCAGTATATCATTACCCGAAAAAAAAGAAATGGTGCATCCGAAAGTTCGCAATTT